GCTCAAATATAATTCAAGGGAGTGTAATAAATGAACATCAAATAATAATACCAAAAGAAAAATGGAAAACGAAAAACTGAAACCATAAAAACCTCATGGTAAATATAAAAAAAAAAAATCTGAGAAAGAAGCAGAACACAGATCCAAATTGCCAAACCGCCTTCCTTCTCCTTCGCGCGCGCTCTATAAATACCTTCCACCTCACCATTCCCTTCCCATCGGACAGGAGACAACCACACACCAGACGCACAGCCTCCGCAGCTGCAGGCGCCTGCTCCTCTCCGACAAGACCCCAAGAACTCGCCAACCTAGGCCAGCCACCCTTCCCCTCTGCCACAATGACAATGCTGGTCGCCGCCGCCTCCGTCAAGCCCTCCACCACCGCGGCTGCGGCCACCTGCAAGACGGCCTTCAAGCCTCTCCACCTCCCTCCCCTCCCCGCCGCCGCCGGCCTCAGGCCGCTCTCCCTCGCCGTCTCCGCGCGTCCGCTGTACCGTCAGGAGCATGTCCTCGCAACGGTGGCGGTGGTGGCGGCGGGCCGCAACGACCGCGCAACGTCACCCGCGCCGCCGTCCGCCACCGCGGACGGCGCCCGGCCGGTGGAGGTCGCCGCCGCGCCCGCAGAGAACGCGCGCCGCGCCAAGATCGGGGTCTACTTCGCCACGTGGTGGGCGCTGAACGTGATCTTCAACATCTACAACAAGAAGGTGCTGAACGCGTTCCCGTACCCGTGGCTTACGTCGACGCTCTCCCTCGCCGCCGGCTCCGCCATCATGCTCGCGTCCTGGGCCACCAGGATCGCCGAGGCGCCCGAGACGGACCTCGATTTCTGGAAGTCGCTCACTCCCGTAAGTATCGGCACCGCTTCTTAGTTCCTTCCTAAATATCTCTTCTTCTAGATGTGCGCTCTGTGGTGCTGATGCGAATCGTCTCGTGGTCGGCCGGCCGAGCAGGTTGCGATCGCGCACACGATCGGGCACGTCGCGGCGACGGTGAGCATGGCTAAGGTGGCCGTGTCGTTCACGCACATCATCAAGAGCGGCGAGCCGGCATTCAGCGTGCTCGTCTCCAGGTTCTTCCTCGGCGAGCACTTCCCGGCACCGGTCTACTTCTCCCTCCTCCCGATCATCGGTGGATGCGCGCTCTCCGCCATCACCGAGCTCAATTTCAACATGGTTGGTGAGTGACATGGAAATCTCCCCAGTTCCTGAATCTCGGAGATACTTATGCTGATACATCATACATGAGAAATATCAGAGGGATGGTATCTTCAGGCTGGTTTCCTTAGATATTTTTCACTTGATTTCAACACCAATCAAGGAAAAAAAATAAGTCGCAATGGCAAACCTTTTTCGGTCACTCTGAACAACATATATGGAAAAATGATTACGACTGAACCTGTCTTGTTCAACCCACTGTAGGATTCATGGGGGCAATGATCTCGAACCTGGCATTCGTCTTCCGGACTATCTTCTCCAAGAAGGGGATGAAGGGCAAGTCCGTCAGTGGGATGAACTACTATGCCTGCCTCTCCATCATGTCGCTGGTGATCCTCCTCCCCTTCGCCATCGCCATGGAGGGGCCCAAGGTGTGGGCAGCGGGTTGGCAGAACGCAGTCGCCGAGATCGGTCCCAACTTCGTCTGGTAAGCTCACATGCTCCTTGGACTACTCACGTAGCATTGCACTGTCACAGCTGCCATGCTGTTTCAGATTTTTGTGTTTATTATCCGAAATTCCAACCCTTGAATCATTTTTAAACACGGTTGCTCGCAACACTTACACCTTAAATACCTCACAAAATCCACAAGATTGATGGCATAACTTATGATCTACTGATATGTATCATAACTCATAAGTATCTAGCATTGCCTCCCAAAAAGAGCAGTTGCTTGTGTAAGGACAGAGCATGGCACTGAGATATGATTTCTCTGGTCTGCAATGGTCTGCTCGTCCTGCAGAACAAAAATCGATTATTATTGCTTTGATATCTGTGATAATTCAGTTTGATTCATGTGGCTAAGACTTCCTCTGTGTGGATGTAGGTGGGTGGCGGCGCAGAGCGTGTTCTACCACTTGTACAACCAAGTATCCTACATGTCGCTGGATGAGATCTCGCCGCTTACATTCTCCATTGGCAACACCATGAAGAGGATTTCTGTCATTGTCGCCTCCATCATAATCTTCCAAACGCCCGTCCAACCCATCAACGCGCTCGGAGCCGCCATCGCCATTCTTGGAACCTTCATCTACTCCCAGGCGAATCAACTCGGTGTTCGAACATAACAACTTATGACTATTGAGAAAATACCTACTAAGAAGCCCCTTGTATAATATTACTAGATCCTCTTTCTTTTTGTATTTTCTTTCCTAGGACTAGCTTCCAGTGTTCAAGAGCTCCTTGTGTTTTCATTATGACTATGATGGTGTAGAGAAAGATGGATCCATCTAAATAAAAGTACCAGATTTTTCTTTCTCTCGGCCCTTTTGTCGCCTCCGAATTCTCCGGTCCAAAACAACGCGTGGCTCAGAATGCATCGGGCTACTATTCCACTTGCCTTGTATGATGTACCCATGTTTCACAAGGCCAAGAACGGCAACCGTGCAAAGGTCTGGTGGCCCATCTTGCTGGTGAGTGGTGACAGGTACAGGGGAGCATGGCCCTGACGGGAAGCGCTGTGCAATTTGCACACTGAGATCTTTGCGACCGATTCAGCGTTGGAGCGTAGCTGATCGTCTTGTTGTGCCCTTGCCGCCTACTCCGTTGTTCTTCTGCATGGTCCCCGGGTCGGCAGACTTTGTTCTTTCAGCTTATGGCAGTGCTGATATACCATCTCGCAGGCGGCATATACCCCTGTTCCTGATCCAAGGAGCAACCTTATAGTGCTCTAAGGGGCGTCACACTTTGGATTCCAGTTCAGATGTATCTTTCGTGCTTTTTCAGAAGATCGTCAAGATAACAATCTTTGTTGTCAGCACTCGTATTGTGGCTAAAAGACCAAAATCTTAAAATTAAAGAATAGTTCATTTATTACTAAGCTGCATTATATTGCAGTAAGGCTTTGCTATTTAGTGCTTACTGCTTACTACATGCATTGCAGGATCATATATGAATATGCAGTACTGAAGATAATGCTAGTGAGATTTAGAGGCAGAGTCGCAGAGGTAGAGGGCACCAAGCCAGTTTTAGTAGAAATAGCCAGTATCATTCTAATGGTTAGCGGAAAACTCTGTGCCAAAAACCATACCGAGTAATTTAGAGAACGACAAACATATCGAGCAAACAAAGTGAGCCTACCATTGTACCGTTGATCAAACCTGATTCAGAGTTCAGTTCATTCAGACCAAGAAACAGACGTGTTTCGAAACAGCTCTAGTCGACTTGAAAGGTCAAGAATACAGTTCTGTTTTCCTTTTCAATAATATACGGTAAAATGTAAAAAGCTCTGAAGTGGCTGGCAATTGTATCCATGGCAAACCAGTTATACAGGAACTAGAGGATTGTGAATTTGTGAGCTTCCTGATTTGCATGTATCCTGCATTTTGTGAACCCTGAAGTTGTAGGGCTTCTATCATCCGATGTCCTAGCCTTCTCATTTGGAAGAGCAGTTAGGGCGTTTCAAATTTTTGGTTATGATATGATGGCAGCTAGCTGAAGAGCCATGGCTTTGGCATGTAGAGCACTTGTAGATCCATGCCCTGATTCCTGTACCTTGGTCCTGCACTCCTGCAGCCAGAGTGGGCGGAATTCCATATCGGTGAGTTCAGTTCCTAGCAGCATCGATGTGGAATGTGACATAATAGCTGATAGATGCTTTATGAGATTATCCTCTTGAAGAAAGAACGGTAGATGTGCTTCTAAGCTGTCCAGATGAACCAGAGTAGATAAAGGTGAACTCTAACATCATGATCCGAACCTGTCAAAGGACATTTCCTGAAACATATGGCTGAACCAGTCTAAAATTATCACAAGATGGCTATTTCCTGAAACATGAGGTAGATTGTCCTGGTAGAAAGAAGCGACTGAAACCAAACAGATGTAGCCAAAGTGCAGCGAAAACTAAACAGATGTAGCAAAAGCGCAGCGAAAGAACTTGCGCTCATCATTTTAATTGCTTATACAAGACTTTTAGCAGCCGGAAGGCGATAAACGAGTAAAAAAATGCCAAATGAAAATCTGAATTTGAGGAGGTGCGCTCATCATTTTCAGTGACCCATTTGATCTGCAGCGTAATGTGTTGGTGTTCGAGCTCTCAAACACTTTGAGCTGTTCACATATCTTAATTAGTTGCAAAGTTTGGTGTTTCCAGCAGTAGACCCGAAAAAATCTGGCTGGTTGTTTGCCGAATGATGATATCTGATGAGTTGCACATCATCTTTCTCTACTTGCACGAGTCGTCTACTTGCATTGCAGAGTCGGAAGGACCTTACAAAATCGATGGATTTCACATCTGAAATAGGACTCTTTTACCAGAGGAAGAAACCTGGACCTTTTTTTGGAGGAGAAACCTGGACCTTTCTTTGTTTCTGCACACCCTTTAATCCCCACGAGATCATATTATTTTAAAACTTCATCAGGTAAAAGCCCCCATGCTTTATTTAAGATGAAAAACATATACGCTGCCGTTAACTGGCCATGATCCAAACGAGTACTCAACTGAAGTTTTAATTGGTTGCCATCACACCCTATCAGGCTATCACAGAACTATATGCACTACAGGATTCCATTCAGCCACACCATCCTCGGTGTAAGAATGATCAGCTTTAGACACAGGAACACGCATAGGCAATGGCAGAACAAAATCAAACACATAACAGATTCAATGACGATTCAAGCTACAAAACCTCATTTAGCCAAAACCGACCCAACACTCAGAACAAATGTCAGGCATTGGAATTTGGATACATAGCATGGTCTGCTTTCAGAACTACTAGTAACATTGAAATTTGACGACAAGTTCTTAGAACAGTAGTAGACCCACACGCATAGGTGATGATAAACTTAGAAAAGAGATGTTCCCTTGCCCTTCTTGTCTCCACCAATCTCAAAATGCTTGCACCTCTGTGACACAGGGATTAAGGAAAGAGTGAGCTAAACCAAACAGAGAAATAGTTTGTTCAACAGCAAGTTTAGCACAGGAGAATGAGACAGTACCTTGATCGCGTGCTGCGAGTAGTGCTTGCAGCTCTGGCACTGCAGCTTCAGCACAATCTTCTTGGTGGTCTTGGCCTGAAAATCACAAAACTTGTCATATCCCAAACTGTGCACTGAACAGGCATTTAGAATGCGCAGTCATATTCAGACATTCATGCTAGCATCCAAACAAACAAAGGTATAAAGGATTGACAGATCATTAGTACAATCACATAGATAAGCTTCATTACCTTCTTGTGGAAGACAGGCTTGGTCTGACCACCATATCCTGACTGCTTGCGGTCATAACGGCGCTTTCCCTGGGCAGACAGGCTATCCTTACCCTTCTTGTACTGAGTCACCTTGTGGAGAGTGTGCTTCCTGCACTCCTTGTTCTTGCAGTAGGTCTTCTTGGTCTTGGGAACGTTAACCTGTATAACATGTCAAACAAATTGCACAGGTTAAAACAACATTTCCTATTCTTAGCAACTGAAGATCAAACCATAAGCAAGTTCTGCATATGGATGTATAAACAAGCTCAATATAAGTTGGGAAAGGAAATTGAAAACTCAAATCGGAGCTTATAGGTCCTCAGAAGATATGCTTATAGTTGTCATCGTGAGAATAATCAGGTCTCAAAGATTCATGCCATCATAGAACCCCACAAAAGCATCACGCATTTGAACAAAAGATAACAAAGAATCAAGCCAAAATCCAGGTACAATTGTGACAGTGCATCCAGAGGCTTATTTGTCGCGAATATTTAGCATAAATCATCTGGACTGAGTCTAAAAACAAAGAGATACCACCACCGGATGGCTACTAGGAACTCAGATTTCCTTGTGATTGAGCATACTCCTCAGATCTAACAACATACAGGGGCAACGCTACAAAACGAACTACCACACGAAGAAGTACATCGAACGAAAAATCACCAGTATCTACCTGGATGATAGCCACCGACCAAGTTAAACAACCCAAGACAGCCATCACATCCACTCCCTAATCTACTACCCATCCATCAGAACCCACGCACAAATCAACAAGGACAGCCAGGTACAGCGATTTCTTTGTGGCCCGCGCGCGAGGGGAACAGAGAGAGACGAGGAAGAAACCGGCTTACCATTTTGGCGGCGGCGAAGGGGCTCGTGCGGCGTGCTCCCTGCTCCGGTGCTCCCTATCCGGTCGAGAGGCTGCAGCGAGTGGCGGCGGCGGGGGTACAAGGCCTGTGCTTTTATGGGGAGGCGCCCGCCGCTGTCTAGGGTTTTCTCCGGGGATTCGGGCCGTGAACTTCTCATGGGCCGTGCGCCTACAGCTAGGACGCTGTTGGGCTGCTCACTGGGTTTCCTCCACTCGGATGCTGGTCAATATGGGCCTTTGTCTGGGTCAAACGGCCTAAATGTGTTTTTAACATTCGCTGCTGATGGTTTAACATGAATCATATGGTGTAAAGTGTTGTCTAAACCAGACATTCAAAAAAAAGTGTTGTCTAAACCTTAGTCAATATTAAAAAAAATAGATCAGATGGATAAACTAAAATAGTTAAAAATTTCAATTCTTAGTTAACTTTAGCAAACTAAATTTTTTTTGTTTGGAGCTTCAAAAGCTAAGTAATCTGAAGTTTAGTGATTAAAATTTAGACCATAAGATTTAGACATGGCGTCAGAACAAGCAGACCCCTAAATAACCGTCGTCGTTGGTGTGCGTGCCGTAAGTTTAACTCGTTTTTTAGAAAATGCTTGCAACATTTGTATCTCTAAAATAAATTTATTAAAGAACTAGATTCAAAGACCTTTTCTATGATACTAATTATATATCGTAAATATTAATATTTTTTAATTTATATTTAGTCAAAGTTGTTTCTCGGGAAGCAAAAACGACAAATATTTAGAGGGTATTTGGGACTCCTCTACTCCACGTTTTTCAGCTCCATTCCAATTTTTTAGTCAAACGGTTTCAGCTCCAGGTACTCTATTCGAGGAAAAAAGGTAGAGTTGGGTGCTCTACAAACTTTAATTTTTTGTGGAGCTGTTTCACATAGTGGAGTTTGTGGTTAGGATCTTGTCTCGCCGGGTTTCGGGTCCGGCCTGGGCTGGGTGGGGATTTCCGGTCCATTGCCATCCGTAGAGCCTGCCGCGGCGAAGTTTCCACCCAAGGCGTCGGGTTCATGCCGTCGACGGCTAGGTAAACCTGCCTGTTCCTTTTCCTTACCCCTCCTCCCTGTTTTAGACGGGAACTAGGCTCAAAAGATCGCAATGCCTCGTGAGCTCTTGGAAAAGTTTAGCGGTGTAAGCATTTTGCTTATTTTTTTATCCTCCATTTAATACTCCATTTGAGCACTAATTGTAAAATGCTGCAGTGTGAAAAGACGAAAATACCCTTAAGTCTAAATATGTCATTTATTTTTTTGAGCATCTTAACGACTTCAAATGAAAAAACTCAAAACTAAAAAGTTGTAGATCTCGTCGAGATCTATAATTTTCAAATAAAAATTATCTTCATTTAACTCCACAAAAAAAGATATGATTTTTCTAATATATATTAATCATATCAAATCATATTTTTTGCGGAATTAAATGAAGATAATTTTATATGAAGTATTATGCCTCTTGGGACGAGATCTTGTCTTTCTAGTTTTGAGTTTTTCATTCAAATCGACCTAAGATGCTTAAAAATTAATGAAAGTCGTTAAAATCTTAAAAATTAATGTATATTTGCCGCGGCGATTTTTTTCCGCCCAAGCAGCTTGTCGTTAGTGCCCAAACTGACGGCAATGACATGGAGGACATAAAAAGTTAGAAACCTGACCTGTTCCTTTTTTTTAGAGGTCCTCCTGGTTTTAGATTCCGGGGGTGTCCGCAAGGTTGCTGAGGTCCGTGGCGGCTCCGATTGGTGCGAGGATGGAGTCGATGTTTAGTTGCTGGATTCTGGCTTTATTTTTAGGGATGGTGGGTTTCAAAAACGATGCAGCAGAGGTGAACGGTGGTTTTGTCACTCAAGATTCAAGTATGCGTCTTCCTTAGAGTTCAACCTTGTCTACTATTTGAGTTTGGATCTGCTCCCGCTCAAGATTCAAGTATGGCTTCTGCTGAGTTGGCTGGGGTAAGTGGTGCGGCTCGCCCTCTGATGAAGCTCATCACCATGAGTGGTATTCCAATCCTGCAACAGCTGCATTTGGAGGAGCAACTTCTCCGCTGCACAGCGGACAACTGGTGTGTCATCAACGACGGCACAGCCCCTCCTACCATTGTCATGGGCGTGTCCGGGTATAAACTGAACTCTTCTTGTACTTCGTCAGGAAGGATGATTCAAGCATGCATTGGCCTCCCTGTGGACCATGTTGAGTTGTTGATTCACTTTTTCGTGACGACAGGAGAGTCTCAGATACAGGCAGTCCTTCGGGACCAGGTGCCTGTCGTGAGGAGGTTCAGTGGAGGTGGCACCGTCATTGGGAACGATATTTGTGACCTTCATTTGCAACAAGAGTGACGTTGCCGAGCTGCAACCCTTTCCGTGGGACATCATGTCATGGTGTGGTCAGCTATATGGCAACGTTTTTGACAGATTTGGGGAATTTCATCTGCGTGAGAATGGTATGAAAAAATAGCACAAAGTTTCATTGTTTGCTAGTTTAAGATTTTATTACTTACACTGAGCAAAAATTCCATGTTCGAATGCATTGTATGCCAGTATACCCTTTAAGGATCGAAATTATGGCTTTTGTTCTTTACATTAAAATGGACATAATTTACTCTCCTTCGTTTAACATAATCTATTTCTAGATAACTAAATTTGAATTTACATTGTTCAACGATTACCTTAGCAGTAGGATAGCATGTATACCAAATATGTTGGGAAAGTGACTGTCAATGCTTCTGTCCAAAAGATTAACTTATCATGTGCTTGTTTTTCAGACTATGCATTTAGTCATCGAAAGTTTGGTGGAAATGCTCAATCGATAACAAAAAATCGTTGGGTTCATCACACATCGTTCTTGTGGGATTATGATGTCAAAAATATGGATTATCTCAAAATCCCAGGGCTCACAATGCTTGCATCTCTCTAGGAGGATGGGTGCGGAGGACCCCGACCCGCTCCTCCCCTTCCTCGTCGCCTCCGCACTAGCACCCAATCCGCCTAGATCCGCCGCATCCTCCGCTCCTCCATGCCATCAGCCCCAAGATCCGCATCCACCGTCTCCCGATCTACATGCTGGTAAGTCTCAACCCAGCGTTCTTCTCGTTCTTCTGGTTCCCAGTGAGCTTGAAGCCACCGGTGTTCCCTTCCATGCCGGCCCCTCCCCTCCCCTCCCCCCTCCCCCATCCCCAGCCGGCCGATGACCTCCCCGTCACTGGCGGCCACCACCCCAGCAGAAGGGTGGGGACCTGCCTCCCCCCTCTCTCCTCTCGCCGCCCCCGTCTTCCCGGGCGACGACGACGGCAGCAAGGAGGTTGCGCCCAGGATGGAGGTGCAGCAGAGGGAGGACGAGGCTCCAGTCGTCGTCGAGGATGTCATGGAAGGCGAGGACGAGGATGAAGACGATGACGACGACGAAGCTAATGCTGATGGGTCGGTGGACGTGCGCAGGCTAACCGAGAGCCCCAATCCCTCCAGCCTGCCGGATGCTGCACCGGCGCCGGCAGCCACCGCACAAGCCCCCGCCGTCCCCGACGCCTCAAGCACCCTATCTCCCTTCGAGGATCCCTTCATTCCTGCCCGTAGCTTCGCGGGGAGGTCCAAGCTGCGTCGCTGGGAAGAGGACTCCATCTCTCTCGTCTCCGACTCCGACCTTGAGCGCTCACCTCCGGGCCCTTCCTTGCCCGACCTCGAGCGTCCCCAGGTTGGGGCTACTTCGGTCGCGGCTCCTCCACCCTCTGGCGTGCGCTCAGTCGTGGTGCAGGGGGCGCCCCCATTTGGCGCTAGCGGCAGGAGTCGGCGCCGCCGTAGGAGGCGTCGGGGCCGCCCTGTGCTCGTCCACGGCCTACCCCTAAGCGACCCGGAGCGCCAGGGTGCGCGGGACGTCGAAAGCGGTCGTCCGAGGGTGCCTGTGTTCCAACGTCTCAGCCCGCGGCGCCGTATCTCGGCCCCCGACGTTGATGGCTGGAGGGAGATTCTACCGCGCGGTGCGGATTCGCAAGCACGCCCGGCTGGTCCAAGGCCTCAGTCTCGTCCAGTTCTGCGGGAACTCGTTGGGCGCTGCTTCAACTACCTTGGTCCCGACCATGTTGCCGCTGCTTGCCGCAATTGGTCCAGGTGCCTCCGGTGTGGGGGTGAGGGTCACCATGCATGTCGATGCTGGCGTAAACGGGGAGCGACCCGTGGACGACCTCTTCGCCGGTCCTCTGATTGGCCCCCCACGCACCTCCTCGGGCGGTCGCAGTGGATGTTGCTGATGGTGTCGCGTTGGACACCTCAGTCTGTGGTCATCCCCACAGTCGTCGGTGGCGGCGGGGAAGCGAAAGCCGGACCAGCGCAAGGGTTCACCGGCGGCCAGAGGCAGGCGTGTGGTGTCCCCGGCCAACACTACCGTCGAAGTTTCGCCTCCTGCTTGCTCCGCATTCGACCCGTTGACGCTGTCGCTGCGCTTGGACGCAGAGCACGCCGGTCGGGACGTGGCGGATGATCCAATGATGGTGGAGCTCGTCGCCTCGCTCTCCATTATTCAGACAGCTGGAACACCGCCTGCTTGCTGCTCCCACGGAGGACGAAGCCCCCAAAATGCCATCTTCGCCTGGGCGTTCCTGTGGGTCGCTGGGCCTTGACGCGGAGCAGGCCGGTCGAGATGTGGCGGAAGATCCGATGATGGTGGAGGTTGTTGCCGCGCTCCCTATTATCAAGGTAGCTGGAGCACCGTCTGAGCACGAAGCCCCCGGAACTCCAGCTTCGCCTGTGCGTGGTTGTGGGTCGCCGCACACGGATAGGCTGGCTTTGGATTCCTCTGGGGATGGCGCCTTGGTGTCCTTCATCGATGCCATCAAGCTACCGCTTATGGTGTCACCGCCTAGGTTGCGCATCACCAAGGACCCCAAGGCTGCTGATGATGGCGATTTCGTCCCCAAGCGCATCGCCCGTTTAGCGGCTAAGAGCAAGTTCAGAGCAACGAAGCCGGATGCCTAGGCAAGAAAGGTGCTCCTCAAAAAGCTCGGGCTTGAGGAGGTCGAGACGGAGAAGCCTGATGAAGCGTCCTTTGAGGCTTTCACCACGCCGCTTCCCTGGAACGCGGGGATGCCATGGAGGCCCTCTTTCCGGGGAGAGGCCGGCGTCGCGCGACGGACGTCGAATAGGCTAAGAGTTTCTACGTCTTTGCCTTGTTGTACCCTCGGTCGCAAACTCTTGTGCCGTATAGTCCTTTGTATGTGTTGTAGTTGCTAGGCTCTAGCTCTAGCGTATCGACGTTCTTGGTTGGTCCTGAACGCTAGCGTCTTGCCAGCGGGTGTGGAACGGCGGAACTCATCAATGTCGTGTAACTTTGTAACTCTCCTGACATCTTAATGAAACACAGGTTTCGACCTGTTCGCAAAAAAAAATCTCAAAATCCCAAAGCGTGCACCCGAATATCGACTGGTATGACTCTAACTGTTTATGCCTTCATTTGATTTCCATCATCCTTTGTGCATATACATTGAGAATGATGTTTAACATGAGCTCCTCCAATCAGATTATCAAATTTGAGCATCTTTAATATTTATATATGTTTACACAGAGCTAGCCATGTATGAAACATGTACATCAGTAGTGTGTGCTACAAGTCTCTGTTAGTTTTATGGTGTCATAATGTTTTCCATAACCACCCGAAGTCAACTTTCGCCTGTAATCAGTAGTGTGCTACAAGTCTCTGTTAATTTTATGGTGTCATACATAATGTTTTCCATAACCACCCAAAGTCAACTTTTGCTTCTAATTGGTGTGAACCATCAATGATTGTTGTGACCCTTGATCCGTAAGGTCCAAGAACTGGTGGTAGTTGATTAATCATGGCTTACTTTATCAGCATTAGTGATTACCCAACTAGAATAACCATGCATGCAGTGATTGCCAGACCAAAGGGTTGAGCAGTACTAATACTGAAGCCTGGAAAGTTAAATGCCTGGGTTTAATGTAAGTGCTTTGTTATACTGAAACCTGAAAAGTTAGATGTGTTTACTGTAAGTGCTTTATTGTTGTACTTGAATGGTAACCAAGACGAGGCGGGAAGTGCTGGGTAGATAGATGGCAGTTTGGTTCTGAGAGACAGAAAGTGCTGGGTAGAAATAAAGCAGTTTGATTTTGATCAGTTATTGGATGCAAGGATCTAGGATTGCACAAAACAGTGCAATGATGACCAGTGGTGTGAGGCAGCAGCTTTGCTTGGCTAGTTGATTTTTGGTGGAACTTCCCCCTTGGATGTATTGCCTAGTAATGGTATGGATTTGCCAAAACTCGGTGCAATAATTGACTCACTTTACAGTTTACACAAGAACGAGCTGTAACCGAATATTCATCGAGTTTGTGATGTGAAGGTAGAGCGCAAAGTTTTTAAGGGCAAACTGTTGCACTTTGGCCTAGACCAGATTTGAGCACTATTGTTATCATATAACTTTCATTGCTATGCCTGAAGTGTTAGAGCTGTCATTTGCTATTGAGATTTGAGAACTTTCTGGGTACACCACAGACAATAATTAAGTTGCTGAGAACCAGACAATAATGCTGCAAATGATATTTGGTTTCACCATGGGCTCTTAAGTCTTAACTATCTTGATTCTTGATCTAGCATTTGTGTGGAAATGGTTTCATGGATTATGCCTGAGAATGAGCTGATTCTTTTATATTCTATTTTTTGGCCTGCCTGTTCCCAAGGTGACCCCAACAATCACCCTCCAATAGAAAAAACCTCTTCTCTCTCCATTTTTTAAGGAAACTTAATGCATGATTTTTCATTTATAATTATGAACAGAATTGAGAATTTGTTTCTTGATGTACTCAAAATACCTTTGAATTTTGGAAACCTTGCAGTTGAACTCTACCTATTTATTTGACAGTATTACTCATGTTCCTGGTTGTGTATATTTTACACTTGAGCTGAGCCTATTTCAGATATGGTATCACTCATCTTTACAGTTGAGATTTACAACAAAATGTTCACCATCGATGTAGATTTCTCATTTTCTTTCCAGGCAAGAAACCACACGGATTTCTTGTGCCGAATGAAGGAGTGTATGCCTTCGCGATCAGTTTTCACCGATGGGGTCATTGTGGCCCTGGGAGAACACTTCACAGTCCAGCCCACGGATCTGCAAACAGTTCTTTTGGATGATGAAGAATTTGTGCCTTCTACAAAGCTGCTGTCACAACATGACCTAGAGGAAATAGTTTCCTCCAAAGAATCCCTTAGTAGAGTATAGAAAGTCGAAGCATGACCATGATCGCCATTTTCTATTATGAATCTGAGAGCAATTACCGGCGAGCTGTGGATTCATTCGAGGGTGAGTCCCATGCGTCAGTTTGTGGATAACGGTCTCAAATCAACTTTTCTAGTCTGACATTATGGACACTGAACCACTGACATTGTTACCGCTCGTCCAAGCAATTTCGCGCATTTATTTACTGTTACGTTGAAAAGAAAGTTGGAAGTCAACTTGCAGGCGGGCTTGTTCGTGGCCGGCCGCTAACCCACCTCGCTTGCCGCAAAGTTTATTAGCGGGCTTGCGGCTTATCACAAAGCTACGGATCTTGTGAACAAGTGTTCCACGGATATAACAAACTTGTATGTAAGACCCGCAAGACGTACAGTACAGTATCTATGTATTGAAGATCAAAACAGAGTTGGCTAGAACAGAGAAACATACCGCACGTACCCGTACAGTATTCATGGAAACAAAGTGAACTGACCAGAAACTTGAAAAACAGTAAACATATAATACAACTTTGGCTAACCTCATTTGAATAGGTAGTACAGTTCATAATAATCTCTGAAAGCGTACATGTAAGGAGGCCAAACAAAGCTCCACAGGCACCAACAGAGATGTGTTAGGTTTATCTCCACCAACGGTCAATTGGGCCCTTGATCCGTTCCCTGATCAGGGACGCTCAGCCTTTCTACCGGCTGATGGACCCCTATCGCGTAGCGCAATAAATATGAGGTGGGGGCTGGAGCTCGAGATACGAGGTTCACCGCAGCCGTCGGCGCCCCACCATGTCCTAGCCCTAGTCCGATCTAGAAGGGCGCGCTGTAAGCGATGGGAAGCGTCATCGCCTTCGCCGCCGCCACTGGACAGCGCCTTCACGTCGCTGCTACCTCGTTGTCGGCGCCATGGCCGCGACTGGCCTCTCGATGAGGTACATTAATAAGTCCTTTATCTAAGTTGAGTTTTACCCGCTAGATCTGCACCTAGAGGTTCTATCACTTCTATCAAGATGTAGTTACTGCATAAGAAAAGTGCAGACTGCACACTACCTCCAAGCCAGATACATCACTTGAACCAAAATCCAATAATAGCAGTGTTCCATAGATGTAGCTTCTACATCCAAATCACTAACCAAAGTCCTGCTAAACATATGATGACAAGAACAAGATCTGGAAAAGGAGCCATGCCCCCACTACAATAATCCAGGACCAAATACTTAAGAATTCTAAAAGACAGTAACATAAATAAAGTTGAAATGCTAAACTGAAAGGAGTTCTATATCTACAAAGACAAAAAATGTCATTTTCTTCTCTAGTTTTCCCTGTCTTGCACCCCTTCTTTGCCACCCTTCTTTGCTCAACCTAACACCTTTCCTCAAATATCGTCACCATCGCCAATATCATCTTCTGATAATTTAACATCTGATAAACCTGAAACAAGAACGAGTAATGAGTTATAAGGTGTCGTTATTGCTCAAACAACAATACTCAAACTAACAATATGCTACTTTGTACAATTCAAAGAAATCAACCAATCCTGTAGGCATACTAAGGCTTGAACTTTCTTGCTTGTTAGTCGGCTTCTATAGTCACTAACAATTCTTCCACTAGTGGAAAATGCAGATTCAGAAGCTACAGTCGATGCGGGTGCTGCAAACACATCCCTTGCCATACGAGAAACCATAAGATACTTTGTAGAATGCATCATCCACCACTGTAGAATATCAAATTTCTTTTGTCGAGGGAAAAGATCATCTTGCAGATATGTGTCAAGCTCACTTTTCACTCTCTTCCTTTTTTGTGCTGCAAGATGTTGTTCAAAGTCCTTTAGATCATCTTCATCAATACTTCCATCATTGGGCTCTGGTTGTGAGTAGTTTAAATCAGGTGCCATTGATGAATATGCAGAAAATAGATTTTGCAATGTGGCCTTCACCATTTCAGTGTATGCTGGACCTTTATCACCAAAACTAGCGTCCAAACAAAATGATACAAAACTGAGCTTAAACCTAGGATCTAGAACTACTAGAACACATATCTGCAACAAGCATATGTCCCAGTATTTCTGAAACTTTAGTTTCATTTTGCTCGCCATAACTATAATGGAAATATCTATATTTGATTCCAAAGTTTCTATTTTTCCTTTGACTTCCCATAGGACATGGAAACAGTGGTTTGCTGTTGGGTATAATGTACTAGAAACTACATTTGTAGCATCATAGAAGGGTTTGAACACATTGCAAAGTAGGTTTGCCATGTTCCAATCTGTATTAGAAGACTTGTCCATGTAATTAAGATCTTGTGACTCCATAACATCAAAGACTGCCCTATACTCTATTGCAGACTTCAGCATTAAATAAGTTGAGTTCCACCGAGTTGGAACATCAAGAGATGGTCTCTTCTCACAGGATATACCTAATTGTACAATGATTTCCTCGAAACGCTATTTACAGGCTTGTGAGCTTCTAATGTACTTGACACTATCTCGAATGCGGCTAGTAGCACCATCTATCACCTTAAATCCCTCCTTGACAATAAGGTTCAACACATGCGCTACACAACGCATATGTAGCAGATCACCATTTCCAAGCATAAGGTGTCTTTCTAAAAGATTTTTCCTTAAGGAACCAACCATGTTGTTGTTGTTCTTTGCATTATCTAATGTGATGTTAAATACCTTGTGCTCTAACTTCCATTCTTGCAAACACTTCAACAATGCATTAAACAAAGTAAAACCATCATGGGGCGAAGCTACAAGACCAAAACCTATTATTCTCTTCTGCAACATCCAGTCATTATCAATGAAGTGACAAATAATGCACAAGTAACCTAGGTTCTGATTTGAAGTCCACAGATCAGCAGTTAGACAGACCCTTGAATTTGAATTTTTGATAGTTTCCCGAAGGGCTAACCTTCGATCCTCATATGAGCTCATAATATCCTCAACAACTGTAGTTTTAGACACTATGGTAAACCAAGGATTTAAGGTAGCACTAAATTTCTGAAACGGTGCATGGTCAACTAAACTAAAGGACAGCTCCTGCAATACGATAAAGTTAACAATGGCTTTACGTGAGACCTCTTGGTCAAACTTCCAATTCTTTAGAGCTAGTGAATCAGGGGATAGTCATGTGTTCATGCTTTCAACCAACTGGTTCATTCTAGTCCTTTCTTTGCACACTTTCAAATGCCTACGACAAGCACTTCTACCATTATCTCGAGTAGCAGACAAGAGCTCCAAACAATGAATACATTTAGCTTGTACTACTAGATTCCCCTCATAAATAGGCTTAAATTCTTTCCACACATCAGATCTAAGTTTACGTCTCTTAATTGGTCTTGATGCATCTATACAATAAGTATGTAAGTATTGATTAGTACAAGCATTTACTAAAGTATACATAGTCAGTAACTAAAGGCATCTCATGCAGCAAGAAAATTCATCTAAAGGACCAGGACAGTAGAAACAGGACCCTAACCAAGACAGAACAAATCAACAAAGTCAAGACAACAAGAAAAATTTGAGACATAAACTGGTTGCTTCAATATGCAGGAAGTTAAATCTAACCTGGGCCAAGATCAGGAGAAATAACTATTCTTGTATCATCAGATGAAGACGAAGTTGATGATCTTGCAGATAGTACCGAAGACTGGCTCATCCTTGGCGACTGTAGCATTCTATTAAGTACCGGAGATCTCACATAATGCACATGTGAAGCAGATGACTTCCTCTGCATTCCTTCTGAATGATTTGAAGCATTAACAATAGATGACTTCCGTTTTGACAGCAAGGACTTGATCCTATCCACGCTCCTTGATGCTGCATCTTTGCCAAGATTAGGAGAAGCCGCCGTTCTTGCATCATCGGGTAAGGTTGAAGATGACAATCCTGCACATGGTGACCTCTGGTGTTTGGCTCTGGAGTGGCGCATCCTTGGCGATGCTAGGATCCTATTCAGTAGCGGGGACCTCATAAATTGCACGTTCGAAGCAGATGACTTCCTCCGCTTCTCTGTTGAAGGCTTTGGAGCATTAGCAGCAGATGACATCCGTTTCACTAGCAATGACTTCTTCACGTTCACACTCCTTGAAGTTGTATGCTTACTCCTTTGTTGATCTGCTTCTTGACCACTCAATTCTTTTGGCGCAAGCTCAGATGGTAGGGTTGCCATGTCCACACGAGCACATCTAGATAGAATACAATAACATGATAAGCTAGAGGACAACCAAATTGTGGCAACAGAATATGGACTACAGTAAAATTAGATATTTGTAGTAGACGATTTAAAAGATCATATTTAAAGATTTCTAGACAATAATTAATCCCGTTTTTGGTTTGTGTTCATGATCAAAATTGGTTCAGTCCAATTTTTATATGAACACTATGTTTTGGTGATTAATATGAACTCGACATAGGACTGTGGAGTCTGTATAATTCCTTCAGGGTCCTAAAACACAAATGCAACTAAAAACACTTTTTTGAAAGCATCCTTTGCACTATGAGCGTCAACTCTACAATCTGCTCTACTCCGTATATCAATTCAAGAGAGAACTGTAGAGGTAAACAACCAAAACCAAAGGGAACCGAGCAAAATCCTTACCCATATTTATCTGTCTGTAAGAAATTGCAGGACGACGAAGCCACACCCGAGATCTGGCGCCCGAATCCCGCAGAAGCCGACGCTAGGATCTTGGAGGCTTCATGGCCCCCGTCCTCTCCTGCCTCCTCTTGCTCCACCATGGAGGAGCGCGAGTCGAGGGCTAGGTTTCCGCCGCCTGCCACGGCCGGAATTGGCATTTCCATCTGCGCCAAGGGCCAAGACGAGCCGGAAGGGCGAGCAGAGGAGGGTGATGCCTGGACGCCACCATGCGATAGCTAGTAGGGTTCGAGGAGTTACTGGTCTTGCGGGTTCCAGCTTTGTCTCTTGCCCAACGGGCTTGGCGGGTTCAAAGACGTTGGGCCATAAAAAAAATTGTAGCTGGGCCACTACAGCCACGAAGGAAAACTTTGCGGGGCGAGTGTGCAGGTCTCGTTAAGAGCCCGCCCAGCCCACAACGTGAGTTGGAAGAATAAACCAGGAAAATAGGGTAAGCAGAAGATCTCTTTGTGATTAAAAGAGGATTACATGCTTCATTTGTTTGATCTCAATAGTCTGTCCTAAATTTGGACAATATCTCGTATTTCACGACAGAGGGAGCGTAATAAACCTCAAAAAAAACGATAAACGAAAATGGCAACCTGTTTCTCCGAAAGCTTGGTTAATGGGCCTAAACTTGAAGGAGAGCCCACAAAACAAAAGAAGTCGGCCCACAGACACGATCCAAAGATGGTCGAACAGGCAGCCTTACCAGAAATCACGAGTTCACGACACACGTGACACGTCCGATATCAGCCGCCAGGTATATTGTTTTTCTCACAACAAAACAGTATCAGCCGGCTTATGAGCCGTAAAAACCATCAGCCGAAAACCATCAGCTGCCAAGACAAAAATTAATAGATGACCATAGTACAGAAGTTCCCAGGGGAATAGCCAAAGAGGCTCTCATTTTTGCAGTTCTTGATTCCTCGGAACACGGTATGTATACACTCCTATGAACTACGGTCATAGCGGCAAGCACACCCTTTTGCAGTAACAAACCGTAAAACGGATGGACCGAGATTGGTGAAGTCAGTGCAGCCGAACATGGCTGGCTGGCTGCAGAGCACAGGTGATAACGACTTTGGACCGCAATATAACGGCAGGCAGACAAGGAAATAACTTGTGATGGAGTAGCATAAATTGACTCGACATGCAAATAACTCACAGATGCATTTCGTTTTCTGTTGCTGTTCTTTCGGGTTTATTGTTGCTGCTGAAGCAGTTTTGCTTCTAGTGTTGCGTCCAAAACTCCAAATTAAGATGGCGAAGCGGACTGGCAGTCCACTACCTTCAACGGCGACGAGACCAACTACACGAACCTGAACTGCACAGCTCAAGACGCATGCAGCTACGTCGGGCGAGCCGAAGAGGTGGAATGGCTGAAGCCCTGCACCGACAGGCGGCAGGCGGCCAGGCGCCAGCCCGCCCATGTCTTTGTCAATGGAAACGGAGGGTATATTAACATGGATTCCTATACACTCTGGCGAATGTTACAGACGGGGTGTTACATTACAGTCACACCTCGCGGTTTTCCCATTTGACGACGCTCCCGCGCGCACGCGGAACCGTCACCTATGTACAAAGGGCCATCTTGCCTGCTGCAGCCGGCCATCAGGAGGAAGAGGACGACGGGCATGCTCGGTCACTTCAATTGCTCCGGCGACTCACACAGGGCAAGAGGAAGATACGACGACCCTGTCAACCCATGAATGATACCAAGGGTCGTCGTGTCGTGTGTGCTGCCTAATTACTTAGTTAGAGGAGGAAGGTCGTCAGAAGTCTATGATGGGCTCGCCGATGGTGAGGTTGCGCTCCACCGTCCACGGCAGGTTGAAGAGCTTGGCCGTGATGAACTTGAAGATCTTGTTCACGTTGATGTTGTGCGTCGCGCTCGAGAAGAAGAGGGTCGCCTTCATCGCTCTTGCGTATGCTCTGGCCTGTTGGGAACACACAAATCACTTTTAGCAATCAACACGCACAGATTGTTTTCGATAGGAATGGGACTTCACAATACTACACTCTGCAGCTGTAGTACATGTACAAAGTAACAACTCTAGCCTAGATGCAAGACTGAACTTCTGATCTTTCAGTGCTACTGACAGAAATGCAGCTTAAACTTCTTAACAGCAGTTCAGCACAGCCAAATAAATCCCTGGAACCTCCCTCCCTTTTCTCAGCCAGATGCAACGTAGCCGTCGATTCTTTTTAGCATGTCCGGTGACGAGTGACCATCAATCTACATCCTGTAGACCAAGGCCCACAAACAAGATTGACGTACACTCCAATTCCGACGTGTGGGCTGTGGTGCTTGGCAAATGGACAGGAAAATGGAGACCTGACCATGCATGCCCAATTGCCAAGTTTTGACCGCTTCAGTTTTCGTCTATCTACATAAGACGTGGTTTGGGCCTACAACTACTAGTGGTTCACTATGGCTAATGGCTCCGATAAACACCAAGGCCCACTTGCTTCAATGTGCATAAGTAGGCGAGTACTCTCTGCTCAGAGCAGTCTTTACTTGTCCGCTGTACTCGATTCAAGTTCTGTTTTGGGTTCTACAGTGCTATCGCCTTTCGGTTCCTGTCACACGAGCACCCAACCGACACTGTGTTTGTGGATGTAATCGCACTAGAAATATAGGGTTCGTGGCTGTGGAGCATCATGGAAAGAAGCCCAAAATGTTGCACCTAGTTCAAGAACAGTTGCCTGGTGATGGGTTATGGTAGTTTTTTTATATCTCACGTGAGTTTAATTTTCAGGCCTTTGTTGAATTGCACTGTTTCAGATGAAACAGGCATGTGCAACCACTGCTCCCCTCGTCACAACCAAGGCAATTTCTCATCTTTCTATGCCAGCACCAGATAAACTACATCGGAGACGCTGAAGACCCCATATCCAAGAAACAAAGCTACCAAGAATAAAATTTGGATCAGAACGAACCAGTATTGTAAAATGCCCTGCTCACCTGGTTAACGATGGCCCATTGCATTTCAAGAGGAAGCTGAGCAAAGTCATCAAACTTTGTCCCGATTAGGATTGGAATAGCCGTCTGCCAGAAGGGGGGTAAAAAATAAAAGCACTGTTCAGTAACAATATCAAGCTCCAAGCACAATGCACACTAGTACTATTCATCTTCAATACTACTAAAAGCGTGCGAGCAAATCTCAGAGTTATCAAATTGTTCCAAACAGTTATCTGCAGGAGAGTGAGCGGCATCCCATCTGCTACTGACTGTTTGCAGCAATTTGTAATAGTTTTTCTATATGTTCAGCTATAACATCAGAGGCTACAGAAAGAAAACGCGAGATGTGCACGAAATGTTCAGCACAGAGGAATGCACCAACCTTATTCCATTTCCTCGCCCTCTCGTACCAATCTACAATGCTGCATCAACCAAACGAAGACAGTAATGAGCACCAAATAAGAATTTGCTGTGTAATTCTGGATTTGAGCTGTTTGGATTCGATCTAGACACTAACTTATTAAGCGTGCAGCGGCTCGTGAGATCGAACATGTACAGGATCGCCACGGCGTCCTTGCACGCGATTGGGATGTGGTCGACGGACTGGTGGTCTCCTGCGTCCATTTCACAGGCGAATGAAAATGAAATCATCAACCATTTGTTGAAAAAAAAAAATCATCAAGGAAGGTTGGGAATCTGGCATCTGAGCCAAGCAACCAGGGAACAGAATTGCTGATTCAATGGTGCTTGAGGGTTACCTGCCACATCCCAGATGCTGTAGGCGATCCTAGCTCCCCTGACAGCCATCGTCTTGTCCATGAGATTCAGGCCCGTCATCTGCAAGCCGTTCTGCTCCTCCCTGTCATCTCCCACATACTTAACCTGCAGATGGACGAACGTCCACGAGAAGATTAAACTTACAGTGACGATGCTTTTATGGTTTCTTGCTCAGATTTGCACGGTGGTTAAGGAATTGGACGATGACAGGAAGGAAGAACGAAATATAGTAGTTGTATGTGGGCAATAGATTCTAGTGGTTCTGTTGAGTTGAACCAAACCAAACCAAATCCACCGTCAATATCACACAGCAAGGAATTAAGACAAGTCAACAAAACATCAACGACAAGACGAATGTTCGTTTCTTTTGTAATACATCTTTTTCAGCTTGTTTTTTTAAGTCATAATATTATTTTTCTCTCGCAACAAATCAGCTGGAAAAGTATTTCGACTTATTTTTTCAGCGAAGCAAAGGCGACGACGAAGGAAGACGCGTCGAGGGTACAGTACAGAGCATATCCGGATTAAGTTATTACTAACAGTAACAGTAGGTAGAATGATGGCGATTAGATAAGTATATTGAGATTAATTAAGGATGAGAAGAGAACAAGAGCGGCGAGAGGTTAACCGATCGATGATTACCATGAAGCTGGTCTTGCCAATCTGGCAGTCGCCGAGCAGGCTGACCTTGAGGCTAACGACGTTGTCGACGTCGTCAGCTGCGTCGCGAGGGGCCGCGGCGTCGGCGTCGGCGGCGCAGTCGTCGTTCCTGTCGACCGGTGACAGCACGGGACCGGCGGCGGGTGGGCCGAGGCGGCGGTACCGGCCGCGGCCGGCGGCGGCGGCGCCGCCCCCGCCGCCGCCGCAGGAGGAGCAGGCGAGCAGCTGGTCGCGCACGAGGCGGAGCACCCTGGTGACGACGGCGAGGCGGAGCAGGGGCGCCCAGCGCAGGTCGACCCGATCCCCTGCCGCCGCCGCCGCCGTCTTGCGCCGCCGCGGCCCCGCGCAGAGCTGCGCGACCGTGGCAACGTTCATGGTCGCCGCCGGCGCCGTGGTGGTGGTGGTGGTCATGGCGGCGCGGTCGTCGGCGTCGTCCCGGCGCGCCCGCCGCCCATGCACAACCGGCGCCGTGCAGACTGCAGAGGGCCTTGGTTGTGGGGCAGGTGGGAGAGGCGGCGGAGCGGGTGGGACGGGGGAGAGAGAGAGGGAGACAAGGGAAGGACGGTGAGCCGGAGGGAGCAGCGAGCGACCTCCCCGGCGCGGCGTATAAGCGGGAGGCGGACGGGCCAAAATAGGGTCGTGGTCGTGGCCCCGCGACGCTTTTTGCTGGCCTCGCGCTTGCTTCTCCTCCTTATAGCGGAGGCGCCATAGACGGCATGCGCACGCCTTTCTCGAGCTGGGGCGTCGTCAGGGGCTCAGGGCGCGGGCGTGGCGGGCTTTGGCTATCTAGACCGGCCACAGTGGGACGGAGGCGAGGGGTTCGACTCGGCTCGCGATGCGCGCGCAAGGGACGGATAGATCATAGATGGGAGGATAGGCGAGGGGTCGCGGCGTGTGTTGTGCTTGTGCCGTGGTGGATGTCACGTTGGCGGTGGCGGTGTTGCGTTGGGATACTACCGGGAAATTGGGATAGCACGCGTGCGTGCGTGGTGGCCTGGTGAGCGTGCAAGGGACGGGGTGGTTGGTTGACCACCGGACCCGTGGTAGTGGCAGTGGCACGGTCGCCGCGCGCGGCTGCCACCGCCGGGTGTTGGCGTTCGCGCTTTCGGTCCCCGGTGGCGGATGTCCCGGTCAGAGCCGGAAAAAGTCTCGTGCCCAATTGAGCAATGAGCCGTGCCGATCCTCGACGCCGTTGCTAGTTGCTACGTGTTCGCTGCTCGGTCTTCCCCTCCTCTGCGTCGAACGCCGGCTGCTAGAAGCTAGAGTCGTCCATCCGTTCCGTCCGTCCCGGTCTTCTGGAAGAAGCGGGGAAGGAGGAAATCCGGTAGCGTCTCCGTCCGTCACATGGGTGACGGCCGTGCGCTTCGTACACGTTTGCGTGACGGCGATCAATCGCGGTTCCTTCCACCTTTCTACGCCCAACGGCCCAGGGATCACGCCGCGGGTGCGCGTGATTCAAAGCACTAGCATGCAAAATACCGCGGTGATTTCCCTGATGGTGAACCAGTCCGTTCGTCCGTCCGCAGTCGGGTAGGAGTTGCCACCGAAATCCCCTGCATTTATGCGGCGGCATTCGGCGAACGTTGGGTCTCTGTTCTAACGGTGCAGTGCAAGGGGATTCATGGCGCTGCTGGTACTGCAAGCGGTCGCTCGCAACGTGCAGTGCTGCTGCATAACGAGCCTTGAGGGGGACGTGCTACGGAGCAAGCAACAGCGTGTGCATTCAGAGCTCGCACGGATGGTTCCATCCAAACCAAACCTTCAGTTGAATTAATAAATGATCGGCTTGATCGCCAATGTGCTACGGAGCAAGAACATGCACATGCACATGCATATGACTTCTGCTTCTGCTAGATCTGCGCGCGCCCCTTAATTTCAAAAGGCCTCGGGGATATACTCTTTCTTTTTGCGAATTAGGCAACGGAGATATATGACTTCGCCGGAAGATGACATCTTAGCACATACAAGATGTTTTTGTAATTTGTTCCTCAAAAAGAAGAAGAAGAAGTTTTTGTAATTTGCATATAAAAGTCTATTTTACTAGAAAAGTAAAAAAGAAATTCCCCACCTGTCCACGCAGGTCTTATCTTTTATTTTCTTTCCATTCTTTAACTAGCAAACATGTTTATACATTGTAATCAAACATATAACTTGGTGTTCGGTCACCTGGATTAGTCCGTCTCATTTTAACTAAATCAAACGAATTCTAAGTCCCATGATAAATGTTAGGTGCAATAAATGATTAATCTCATATGAAAAAATTGATTGGATTTTGGTTTAGTTTAAATGAGCGCCTTTTTTGTGTGCACCTGTTGTGATGCTAAGAAAGATGTAAGATGAACCACGTGTGCATCTAGCGTGACATAGTCTTGGATGAAGGCAATCTAGGTGCGGTGTCCGCTAAGGTCTTTGCAGCTCCATATAGACCTTCTCGAGACCAAACTAAATCGGTGCTTACACTATTATTATTCCTCCATTGTGAATGATACCTAAGTGTTTCGTGATCTATTGATTCTTAAACTATAGGTTGCCAACATTTTTATAAATACGTGTAGTGCAAGTGTATATATACTATATATAAAAGAAGTTGAGATTTTGATCAGAGGATTTAGGGCTATGGCTTAGGGTTGAGATTAGTAATATCTGATTGGTCTTGGTGTACATCAGAGATTGCATGAGGTAGGATTGGCACCATGTAGATGACCGATACTATAGGAACTTTAAGGGATGATCGACAATAGACCTATCGACAATAGACCTAGGACTCGGTAGTAAAAATCACTTAACAAGAGAGCACATTGAAAGCTAGATATAAATGGAGATGAGAGGACGACACTTGATGGGGAGGGAGGACGGGCATTGCTAGTGCTTGTTTTTGCTAAGGAAGGAGAGGGAGTCGAGAAAGGGAGCGAGGGGAAGAGAGATAATGGTGACGACTAGTAAACACCTTGTTTGGTATTTTAAAATAAAAAAAAGTCAAAATATCGATTGAGAATACACGAGTAGCGTAGTGGTAGTGCACCAGAGATACAAACCATAAGTGGTGAGTCCAATTGATATATTATATATAAAAAAAAGATCTTCTTATAGGTAAAATTCTAATTTTCTTAAAGTGTGGAAGAAAATACCATCGGCAATTCCTTGAATCCGATACCTGTGGCGAAATAAGAAACTAAGTTGACTTGAGGGGAAGAAGAACTTAGTATGCATTTGAAATTTCAAAGCAAGAAGAGGTCCAAACTGAGGAAAACTAAAGAATCTGAATAACGGGATCGGATTTAGCCGTTGATTTTTTTTTTTGGCAGGATCCGGTCCTGAATATTGTCACCAAATCGATTCTCAAGGGGAGATAGGAGTACGTGGGCACTGCACGTTCCTGAAGGAGGAAAATAAAACAGTCACATCACGTCGATCCCAGTCGTGTAGTTCTCGTCCACACCAGAAACCACCCACGTCCGTCCTCGTCGTGGCATCTCGCTCTCACGTACTAACCACGTGCACGCGGTGATCTGCGACTTCAATGTGTCAAGTTTGCTTTCACCGAGCAAAGGCATCTATGAAACAGCGATGCCCGGCAAATACTACTACTACGTGCTACCTGACTCAAACTTACGCTGATGCTTATGCTACTGCTGAAGTAGTGCAGAACAGGGTGACTATTAGCCAGCAACTGGCCGGGAAGTAGGAAAGGAACAGATAAGCGAACGCGATCAGCTAGGCGGTTAGATCCGTGATCCTGACTGAATTCACCAGGCGATCGAGATGCAATCTGACCGTGACCGGCCTCGCTCGCCTCTGGAATCTGGATGGTTGCTGCCTGATGGGCTGGGACCTGCTGGGATCCGGTTAAACTATGCAGCCGGCCACTGCATACAGCTGCCAACTGCCATGCCCGGACAAGACGGAGCAGAAGAAAAATGGCTCGGCTCGGCAGCCGGCGGCAGGTGAATCTTGTACCGGGCGCCGATCTCATCTCATCAGCCGGTACAGTACGGTAAATAGTCTGGAGCAACGGGAGCAGGGCATGGCGCATGGGGCGGCCTCAGGTGAGCGCGTCCTGCCGGGTCGGCTACAGTTGCGGGCGCATGTGAATGCGATGCCACCCGCTAGCTGTTACGATCAGCGGCGGCGTCGCGACTCGCGAGGGAGGGTGCGGCCGGGGCAGCCGGGCCGGGCGCGCGCGCGCACGCATGGATGGACTTTGACTCGGCCGCCGCCGGGGCACGGTGGGCAGTGGGCTGCGCGCGCGCGTCGTGAGCCGTGAGTCGTGGCTACGCGTGAGCGTCCCGGTCCCGGCCCCGGTCCTGCCCGTCAACGTCGCTGTACTACTGATGGTGATGGTCGCCGTCGTCGTCCCCAGTGGACGGCCATGCATGAAGCCGTCTCGAAGCTCGGCGCACTTTTTTCGCGGTAGTGCTATACTTATGCGCTGCGAAATTGACAGCTTCGTGGTCGTTCCGGATGATAGAAAAAGATACAACTAGCTTATCGCCAGTAACGCAACTTGTGCCCAACGTATTTGAGATATTAATAAATTGGTAAATTTTACTTCTGAGATACTAAAGGAAGGTAGTTGACTAATTCACACCGCAAATGTTAAAATTTGCTAGATATCATTATAAATTTAGGATTATTTGTTATAGACACCATAACGATTATATCATATTTAAGGAGAAGGAAGATGGGAAATTCCAATTTTGCCCTTCCCTTCATTTCCTTTATTCCAAACACTATTGCCACGTGAGTTCAATGTGCAATCACCTTCCTTACTGTCCCACTCCCCATTGCATTCCAAACTCCCAAGTCTATCCATTCACGACTGAACTATGTTTTAGGACATTATTTGTTATAGAACACCATAATGATTATTTATTGTTTATCATATAAAAGGAGAAGGAAGACGGGAAAATCTTGTTTTTGCCCTTCCCTTCGTCTCCTTCATTCCAAACACCATTTTCACATCAGTTCAATGGGTGATCACCTTCCTTCTTGCCCTCGTGCTCCCATCACATTCCAAACTCCGGAGTCTATCCATTCACTATTGGGGTCTGTTTCAGGGCAATGTTTGTTATCAAAGATGACAACCGCCGCTAAGGTCGTGGACAAGGCGAATGACAAGTCTGAAGAGGTGGAGGCGAGGCCCATCACCGTGTGAGCACAACACCATGCATTAGACGTATGTCAGAACCAAACGGAGCTACGACTTTGAGCACTAGAGGAGTGACGGTGGTAGTGACATCAACGAGTGCGATTGTGACATGGAAGCAGGACATGAAGTCGAGGCCCTCCCCATGCTTGTAAGACGCCAAAGCGGATAGTGTGCCACGAGACATGCAGCCATAGGGTGATCTAGTCATCGGGGTGGTAGGCGAAGTCCATGGTCAGGTCTTGCCATGTCATCTTGGCTGACC